CACTACCCTTGGCATTATTAACCAGCCGTAACAACATCCTCAATTTAGGAAGCAGCTCTGAGCTCTGCTGCAGGTAGCGCGAATCCCTGAGTGCCGAGATTACCCCGCTGGAGGAGAAACTAAACAGTCCATTCAAAAAAAATGGAAATAAAATACTACTATCAAGCTATATGGTCCCGATGGTCCCCCTGACACGAGGCGCTCTTTGGCCTGTGGAGAGGACGCCCCTCGAGTGTGTCCTAAAGCCCTAATTAAGCAATGAAAAGTTCCGGGCAGCTCCTGGCCCCAAGCCTGGATTTCTGCCCCTTTCCCCAGCTCGGCCGGGGCAATGGGAGGAGGAGGGATGCTCTGCACGAAGAGAGTGTCCGGGGCCGCATATAGAAAAAGGTTGTTTTTAAAAAAATTCCCGCATCTGCGGCCGCGGAACCGCACGGGGCCGCCGGGACCGTTTCCCTGCGCCGGGAATTCGGAAGACCGGGATTCTGGGGTAAGAAGTTGAGGCTCATCCCGAGTTGACTAGTGGTGGTCACAGCTTGAGAGAGAAACGGCGGGGATTTCTAGCGTTGAACCTCGCACAAAACCATTGCCTCAGCTTTTCGTGTCATCCCAGGGCTACGGCAACGCTGAAAAACGCACTCGAAGAAAACCCACGAGGGTTAAGAAGCCCTGCAGCATCAGGTAGCCTTAAAAATTCCCATCTTCAGACCAACGAAGGATTTACAGCCTCGGCGTGTGTTTTGTGTGTTTCCTTATATTTATCTATCTATTTATTTATTTATTTTGTCGAGGGTTATCTTTGTTGAAATAGCACCCGCTATCATTCCTTTTATTCCTAAAAAGAGCTGTAATCTACTTAACAGGAATTGCGTACAGGTTGGCTCTTCACTTAAATTACTGATACCTGCCGAAAGCACCGAAATGTCCCTAAAACGCTGTCTATCTAGAAAGATGTTCCCCGGATAACCCATTTCCACTCTCAGACCAGGCACTTTTTAACTCTTTACCCTTCTGCTTATGATCCCGGTTTCCTGTAGTGTGAGCGTATTGACATGGGCTGATGTATTTCGTGTTAGAAGAAAGATTTACAGACGGGGAAGAAAAGACTGTCCTCATACGAGGCCTTCTTTGAGGCCGGGGCTACCACTGGACAAGATTTCTTCTTAATTTTCTTGAGAGTGTAGCTCACAGGGGCTATGTAGTCCCTCATACATCCGGATTTGCTTGGCTAGTACCTATTCCTGACGGTAAACACACAAAACACATTTTTTTAAAAAATATTATTCTATAACTCATGTTATAAAACAAAAACTCAATAAAAATCAGGTAAAAATGCCTCTTTCCTTAAAAAAGCCTGATTTCTATCAGGGCTTTCTCTAAAAAAGTCACACAAAGGGCAAGAAACAAAAGCTAAGTACTGCAAATTAATCTGCCTTTTTTTTGCCCATTTTGATGCTTCCCCAGCTCCCCATGTAAGCCCCTCTTTTATACTTTCTTTTCCCGCTTAGGAAGTATATTATTATTAATAATAATATTATTAATATTACTGCTTCCTTGAAAAGAAGGCATTCTTGCTGCTCCCTCCCTTTGGAAGCAGGCTGAGAGCTGCAGTCATTGGGAGAATTTGTTTTGGGTATAAGGAAATATAGAAAGACCCTTTAAATATTACCCCCCAAGGTGAGCGCAGGCTGAGAGCTGCAGTCATTGGGAGAATTTTTTTGGGGTATAATGAAATATAGAAAGACCCTTTAAATATTACCCCCCGAGGTGAGCACAGGGAGGCTGTCTTAAAAAACAAAACAAACACACACACACACACACACAAAAACACAGGATTTGTCTTTTTTTCCTTTCTTTTTTTTTTTTTATGTTGCTAGAGGCTCTCTGAACCTTGCAGGGCTGTAAGGGCCAAGACTTTTGCCTCCTGGTCCAACCCGCTCCTTCCCTTCCTAAAATAACTAAGCTTTTTTGGGATTTAGAGCTCCCGCGGCTGGAGGAAATCCAGGAGGAAAATCACTGGAGACTTAGGAAGAAGAATATGGCTCTTCCTTGCTCTTTTCTTGGGGAGACTTGGCACAGAGGCCCTAGACACCATCTCAAGCCGCTGTCAGGTATAGCTGAGCGTTGGCCCCTTCTCCTTCTCCCTGCTCCAATATCCCTGTTTTTTCTCCCCCTTTCCATCAGCTGGAAGG